TGCTTGTCAAACATTTTTCAAATTTCTTCAAGGGCACATAATACAGGATTTCATCTTTATATGAGGATATATATACATGAAGATGTCACAGCTGTTTCTAGAGACTGTCCAACTCCCCTCCCCCCAAATGACCGAGGTAAGAAGCCATAGTTCATGACAAGCAAGTAACCCTAGGTATGCTGGGGTGGGGCAGGAAGGTAGTGAGTCACTGTGCTCTGGGTTTTATGGTTGAACATCCTAGGTTCATACCTTTGGTACATAGAACCAGATCCCTACAACTGCAGATAGATTTTTACTAATAAATTCATGGTGACAAAATCTACACTAAAATGCAGGACAATGGAACACTTTTCTTGTCCTTGACATTCTTGCCTATGGGGTTCTTTGATCTCCTTGATCTCACACACACCTACAGAAGACCCTAAAGACAACATCTATGCTAGAGAGGCATCCCTCATCAGTCTAACAGTCAAGCCAGACCACAGCCCCTTGCACAGTCCTCAAGATGTTTCCTGATGGCCTTCTTTCAAATGTTTCCCTGATGGTTCAAAATCCACTTTTCAATAATTAAAAAAAAAAAAAAAACTAGAAACTATTCTCTGCTTTGCTATTCTTGTTTCCTTATGGTACACTGATTAGAAAGGCTCCAACTTCATTGGCAAATACTGCTTCATAATGTTCTCACTGCTTCCGCACACAGAAATGCCAGTCTTTGCCTTCAGTCATATTCAATACAATGATACAGCCTCCCTATGAGGTGTAAACCTCACTGCTTAAGAGGAAAAATTCCATTGCTTAATATTTTGAAAAGATACTCTTCTTCTAAGAAAAAGTTTACAAAGCTGAAGATGGACTACTCAAAAGATATTCTATAGCTTAGTACATATTTTTTTTTTAGAACCTTTTAAAGAAAATCCATACCAGCTTCCAGATGAGCACCAAGCTGCATTCAGTGATCTTATACAGGCAAGAAGGACATGGTACAACATTCAGTCAATTAAAATGGGTCAGCTGCCACCCACACCTTCTTTATCATTAAAGCAATAGCATAAGGGGAAAATTTATTTTACACAGAAAGTACTGCAATATCAGACATATTCTAGATATGATTAGAGAGTAAGAATGCTGACCCAAAAAAGGCATATTTATCCAGGCTTTGTAATTTGCTTGACATGCCAAAATGAAAGGCAAATGATATGTTCATTGTTGTCTTTAAAGACTTGCATGTTTAAGAAGCAATTTCCTTAAGATGCTGTTCTGGCACCTCCCTGGAGGTACAGGGGTTAAAGTCTCAGCACTATCAAGCTATCACTAGCCACTGCAGCATGAGCTTGATCCCAGGCCAGGGAGCTGACCCACATGGCACAGAAGACCTCTCCTGTCTCACCCACTGCTCCACTCAGCAGTGTATTTCAGGAGATCTGCCTGTTCTCCCCACTCTGTTGAATCTTCTCACCCTCTGGCTTGTACCCCAGCTCTTGTATGCATAAGTAAATCTAAAACAAACCAAAAAAAGTGTTGTTCAGAATTACTAGTCCCGATTATAAATCATACTAGACACTGAAGCCTTTTTAATAAAAAAAAAAAAAAGTTGAAAATAAACAAGTGATTAGTTTGAGGTATGTGAATTTCTGAAAATCTCTTGGGGAAGAAAGTTTTATTACCACTATGAATGAATTGTTTTAATCTCTGACATCAAAGCATAGATGTGACCCCTGGGGTTCTATAACCAGAATAACCCATAAATGAAATACTGTGAGAAATTACCAGATATTAATGTTAGGTTTTAACCAATTCAGAGGTGACTCAAATTAAAGAAAGGCGTGGGGAGAGAAGAGGGCTAATTAGAAGACCTAGGTTTAAGTTCAACTCCACAACTTATAGACAACATTGAGCAAGCCAATTTAACTTCCCAGATCTCAGTTTACTTGACTGTGGATTTAGGGGAAAAAATATGTACATAAAGCTTTTAATAAACCCCAAAGCACTGTTCTAAATATATAGTACTGACTTCAGAATGCCAACTCTTCTCAAACACTTATGGAGTTACAGAACTCTAGGGTTGAGAGGTACTTCACTTAAAGGATGATAACAAAGAAAACCCGAGCCCAGAAATAATTCAGAACCATGTGCAGAAAACACTTTTGAAAACTGGTGAGGATGTGAGGTAAAGTGCTAGCTTTGTCATCATCACTGAAATACTTATTTAAAATATTATTCAAAAGAAAGCAATCCTAGAAACCAAAATAAATTCCTCCAGCACAAAACACACACACACACACACACACACACACACACACGGTTTTATTTTGCATTTATAAACTTTCCCTGCAACTTACATGTTACACTAAATTTTCACCATAAAGATAGAAATAAAGCCATTTCTCTGGCTATGAGACTTGCGATCTTTCTTTCAATACAACCCAGACAAAAAAAGCTTTATAATTGGTTAGAAATGTCTAATGGAAACATGGACATAATATTAACCTCCAGTTATGCTGGCTGGCATCATTATAATATGGATTACAGTTCTAGTAGCCCAGGGATACTGGTTTTAATGTTCCTAGGAGATAAAGAATTAATCAGCAACTCAAGAGGGGGTTGTTGCCTAAAAGTGGACAATTTAATCAAGATAATTCCATTGCCTTTAAAACTGTGCCCCCAATCACCCAGTATCAAAGGCCCACTATGGTTTCAGTAAACTGTATGGCTAAGGAGACAAAATGTTGTTTTTTCTTCAGGCTGTTATGGGATGCCAGAAAAGAAGGCTGACTATGAATCAGTTATGTTTTAGTTCCATGATGGGCATCAATTATGATGATTTGGACATTCTGGTGGTTAAACCAAGAAAGCAGGAAAACCAGTGCTCCTAAGTCCCAGCCAAAGTTTAGTTTGTGGCATCACAGCTGTAAGGCAGGGTCATGCAAAGTGACCTTAAATTTATTTCTGGACTTTCCTGCCTCCATTAAAATCGATGACACTATTTCCCATCCTTTATTGTCAAATCACAACAGTCCGGAAGCCCGAATCTAGTTCACTTGGCTGGTAACAGTAGCAACTCTAGGAGGAAGTCCTGAAGGATGTCAGATACCGTATTTCCTTTACTCCTGCATGCTTTTCATCTTAATGCCATCAGGATATATTTATGACGTCTTCTGACTGACACCCACCAAGCATTATGGCTGACACAAGCTTTGCAGAAACACACACTTGAGGGAAGATCCCTTGTGAGATCCTTAAGCAGCTTAGATGAGTAAAACATCCAGACTACTACTGTAATGAACATTTCAGTCACTCAGAAACTCTTACATTCCCAGCAATCAAGAAGCCGTTGTTAAAATCCAGGAATCGTCTTCGTAGCAGCTCTGAACTACCTCTAAGCTGGCCAGAGAAACTTCACAACTGCTTCCCCCCGCTTCCCCTCCCCCGACCCTAGAGTGCCAGCTTGGCAAGAATAAAAACGACCCAGGAAGGGGGAAAGAGTGAGAGCAGATCTAGTGAAAGCAGAGATGATACAGACGCCTTCATTTCCACTGAGAAATACCAACCTTCTGCACCAACTAACCAGGTTTCTCCTTTCTTTTCCCATCCCCACCCGCTCCGAAAACAATAACTTCCGCAATGTGGTGCTCTGGCATTTCCAGTCAGCGACCTCAACAGTCCCAATCCCTTTCCTCAAAGAGTCTGAACCAGGCACTTCCTGTCCCCACCAGGGATCGGAGGCCATCCCCCGTAAGATTCAATTTCTCTTTACCTTGTAAACCCTCCCAGACTGCAAGACTCCGGGGGTCAAGTTCAAGATGAAGGTATCCTCATAACCTCCCCCCTCCCCGCCGAATTGATTCCAGCAGCAAACAAGAGGCTACCAAGACGAGTCCCATCACCAGAGGCTCAGCATCAAGCACTGCCAAGAGTTGGCTTGGAGGACCAAGAAGGTCAAGACTATAGCCAAAGTCGGCATCCTCCGGACCCCTGGCCGCGCGGCGCAGTATTTTTACCTGGCCACCGCCGCATTTCCTCTCCCTGCCTTACGCAATAAGTCAAGTAAGTTTTGAGAACGCCGGTCCAGAGACGTTTCTGTCTGTAAACACGCCGCACAACGCCTAGGGCTTCCTAGCTCGCCAGCGGTCCCGGAAAGCAGCCGCGCCAAAGCCGGGAGACCCCCACACATCGCTGCGCTCCTGCCCCCCAAAGTCCTCCAAGAAAGAATGTATGCCCAGATATAAATCCCCCCAAAGTGCCCACGGTCCACCTTCCAAGAACAGCAGGGTGACAATCCTGATAACAAGTCTCGTCTTTCTGAGCTCCTCTTCAATGTCTAATCCTAGCTCACTTCCCCACCCCAACCCCCAACGAAAAACGTGGGTATGCTAATCGCAGCGTTCTTGGAAACCAAGCAGAAGACTTTCAGTCCAGACGCAGGCAATAAGACCCCCTCCCCCCGCGTCCTGCTTAAGTTCATCCAACTTCGCGACTCGCGCACCCTTATGTTCAGGGGCGCCCTGGACCCCGCCGCACCAGAAGCCTCTCCCTCCCTCCTTCTCCCCCACACCCGCCTCCCTAGCCCCAGGTACCAGGCGCAGTCCAGGCCCTTGCCAAGCTCAGGGGCTACAGAGGAGGGAAAGGGGGCACGGAGCCGCGCGGACACTGGTGGTCCCGAAACTACAGCGTGACGCCATGCGTCCCCCGCGCCCCCAAAACCCAGCTCCGCCCGGAGCCGGCTCGGTCCAGTGCTAAGGGACGGTGATGGGAAGGCGCCGATTCCCTATAGTCGCCGTGGGCCCTGGGCGCCGAACATGTCCGTGCCTATCCCCGGAAAGCTCCCGAGTGTGCCCAGCGAAAGAAGAGAAGGGGGGCTGCAGAAACTTTACCACATACCTTTCCACTCCCCATCACCCGCTCTTCCTCCCCGGGACCCTCTCCACCTCTCTGCACCTAGGCAGTCGGCCCTGACCGGGACGAATAAAGACCAACGACAACGCCCGGGCGACAGGAGTTACCTGCCGGGAAAGTTTCCAGCTCCTCGGCGCGGATCCCCACCCCCAAGGCTGGACTTCGGGCGCGGCCAGCTCGGCGTTCAGCGGCTGCCTCTCCTCGGCTCCAGAGACGGCCACAGCTGCCACCGCGAGGGCTGTGCTCCGGCCCGTCCCCCCGCCTCGCACGGCCAACACCGGGGCCTCATTGGCAGCGCGAGTCCCCGCCCTTGCGCGTGTTCCCGAAGGCACCTTCCTCTCGCGCGCCCGTCCGGGCCGCGCCTCCCGCGCCCCTCCTCGCCCCTCTCGGGCTGCGGCGGTTCCCGACCCACTGGGGCGAGAGGCGAGTTCTTCCCCAGTTCGATCCTTGACTTTTACCCTAAAGGGCTGGTCCTCCCGGGCTGTGCCCGGGGCCCTCTGCGGTCAAGATGACTGATCGATTTCTTCCTTTTTTTTTCCTCCAAACTCTTTAGAATCATTGAAGTGACCCGACCTCCCCTCCATGCTGATTTTTGAAAACAGCCGAGGAGGACATATGGGAGCAATTAACCAAGCTGAAGTTTTGGTAGACGCTTTTGAGTAGCTTGTGTGGCGTTCTTGAATTTTCTGTTTCCTTCATTCTCTCTTTGTAGTGTTTCCATCGGCTAGAGGAGGGACGTTTAGAGGGGAGAGAACAAAGATGTTATGGTTTTCGTTGGTAGCAGTAAGTTGAATTCCCGAGTTCCAAAAATGTGTTCGTTTATTACTAACAGCAAAAGCCTTGGGTAGGCCTTTAGTTTTGGAAGTCCCTAAGTGTCCTCCTCCCCCTCCCCCAGGAATCCTAGGCAGCCGTTCTCGTTGGGGGGCTCAGCCCACTCCACACCCAAGCCCTGTAGACTAGCCTTAGTCACAGAATGTTCACGCTGCCCTTCGTGGTTGTGGGAATTGTACAAGGTCACCCCAATGCTGTGTCTGGAGTATGGAATACAGAAGCTGCTATAAATGGATTTATTGGCAACCCCTAACCTGGCTAGGACAAACCAGCCTTTAAAACACAACTGTGTTTTAAAGAAGTTCCCCCATAAAAACTTCAACCTCACACAGAGCTCCCCAATATAAAGATATCCTGAGAGTTGTGTCCATATTTAAAGTTCTTAAGAAAAAGGACTGCAAACAAAATGCAGTACAATCACTACATAAATAAAAGATGACTGAGATTTACTGGATTTTTTTTAACCCATAATTTAAAAGAATTGATTACTGTGATTATTTGACCTATAAACACATCAACAGCCCTGAAATCGTCCTGAAACAAAGCAGGATATATTTAAAATATAAATTTATATAATATAAATATAACGAACCAGAAAAGCTATTGACTGAATTCTTCATTCTGGAATTTCTCATTGCTGAAAAATATGGTAATGTGTTTTGTTTAATCTCTCTTGAAATGGCTAGGTTACCAATCTTCCAACAACACATGAAGCCATCCTGTAGTCTTAACAATAAGAGAATGACATAAACAAACAAAAAAACTCCATGGTAATCTAGTGAATCTGATATATTAAGGTATGAAAGAAACAATCCTGGGGGAAAAGATTGGTATGTTTCCCTAGCCAGACTTCTTTACAATGGGAGAAACATGCGAAATTTACAATTTTATTGTGTTCTGTCCTTGGCTCTTCTAAGTATATTTGCCAAGTTTGGGCTGAAATTGCTAAGTTATATTGGGCTTTGAAGACAATTAAATTCATTTTTAGCCTCTACTTTAAATGATCTTTAGTTGAAAATTTTTTGTCTTTATCGTTTCAAAGGTCATAGTCACTAAGAAGTAACTTCAACACTGCCTACTTAGGCATGTTTAACATTCTAAACAGGCATACAGCTAGCAATCTGAAATTTGTATATAGAAGGGCCCTGTCTCCCCTTCTTCCTGTGGTGTTTATATAATCTAAACTACATATGTTACTATGCACAATCTGATATCCAGCTTTAAGCAGCTAACATTACATACAATATGTCGTACCAAGAACATCAAAGCTGTCTTAAGCTGTAAGTGAAAATGGTACATTTTATAGAAACAAGTGCAAGAACAAGGTAATAAAAATTCATGGGTCAGAAAATAAAAGAGGGGTCCATTAAGATCAAATCTGTAAGCTAAAAAAATGGACATTTTCTAAACCTCTAAATATTTCAAGTATTAGGTGAACACAGGTTCAAAAAAAATCGAATTTTAATGCTCTTAAAAATATGCTTTTCCCTTTAAAAAGTAAAAGATGTTTTGAGTTAGTTGCTAGAAGATAGTTTATTTGTATTTTTAGGGGGGAGTCACAGGAACCATCTCTTAGGGTAGTTCTGCTCTCATCCAGAAAACGTACTTGTAAAACTAATTTGTTGCAAAACTTACTCATTATATTTCTGTTGTTTCCAGTTAGAAAAAAATTAAAAGAGACATATAAATCACATTAATATTATGTTAAATATACATTCCCAATATACATACAACATACTGAATCTACTTTTAAATTTTCTGTCAGTTTGTGGGCAATGTAGTTTTTCTCAGTAGAGTGTAAGAAAACAGCAAATAATAAAATGGCTATTTTACCTTACAATTTATTGCCCAAGGCAGTAGGCGAGGAACACATGAGAAAAGAATGTGTCTTGTTGAATGTTAGTATGCTTTTACCCCTTGCTCAGATTCTTAAATACTTCTATTTTAAATCAAGTCTAAGTAAGGATCATAGCATAGCCAGTGTTTATTATGGTATTTGTAGTATGGAATACATAGTGAGACATGAAATGTTTAAAACAGTATAGTAATTAAATGCCAAAGCTATGACAGGGCTAAAATAAATTGTGCCAAGGTAGGAAACCCTGACTCAAAATAATGCAACACATGGTCTTTCGCCAAATTGAAGTATCCTTTAATGTTTACAGAATTCATTCTCCTTTAGTCCCTTCATCTTTTCTGTCCCCTTTAACATTTTGGGGAGAAGAATTTTTAAAGACATGGGGAATAATAAGTTGGGTATGGTTAGAAATCACTTGGGGAAAAGCAATGAAATTACATACCCCTCCACATTTCCTGTGTGTGTAATGACCCGTGGTCACATGCTTATACCAACACTGGTCAGGTGTGGGCTGATGACAGACATTCATCTAGGGATCTTGAAAGCCATAGTTGTGTTCAGTTAAGCAGGCAGTTAAATGAAGAGAGTCATCTAATAGGACATATAAGCCCCCTTTGCAGGTCTGGCACATGGCCTGCCAATGTTGTAAAAACTCATCCAATAAAACCTCGGCAGTGAATTATTTAAACTGATAAGAATTCACTGAGGGGGCCCTCACTGGTGGCACAGGAGGGTAGAGCACAGCATTAAGAAGCTAAAGCCACTTCAGCATGAGTTCAATCCCCTCCTGCCCTGGAGGTGACCACATGGTGTGGCAGACCTCTCCTGACCCACTCGCTGCTCCCCTCAGCAGTGTACTTCATCAGTCGGTCTGTTCTGCTCCCCACTCTGTCTGGTGAATCCTCTTACTGCCCCTGCACCTCTGGCCTGTACCCCAGTTCTGTATGTACAAATAAATAAATCTTTTTTAAAAAAAATTCACTAAGGTAAGAAAATAGTAGATAGATCCAGAGGTTCATATTTCTTCATAAGAAAACCTGCCATCTGAGTGCCATTTAAAATATAGCCTTCAGGCCCTCCCTAGTAGTGCAACAGTTAAAGTACAGCACTGAGAAGCTATATGCAGCTGCTTCAGCATCAGTCAGTCCCCTGCCGGAGAAGTAACCCACATGGCTCAGCAGACTTCTCCTGTCTGGCCCACTGCTCCCCTCAGCAGTGTACTTCTTTGATCTGCCTGTTCTACTCCCCACTCTGTCTCTAGTGAATCCTCTAACCCTCTGCAGCTCTGTCCTGTACCCCAGTTCTGTATACACAGATAACTCTTAAAAAAATATAAAATACAGGTTTTGCCCACTTTTCTGATGGTGAAATGGTTTATGGTGGGGAGGGAGGGGCCAGGATACAAATTTCCCATGTTCAAGAAAGGTGAGGTAATGCAATCCGGCAGTAATGTTTCCAATAAATGTTGTTGAGTCTGGTTAAGAGGGCTTTTAAAAATCATGCTGCTAAGTTTGAATATAACAAATACATTTTAATGTCCTTCACCTTGAGAGGGGTGCTTTCCCTCTTCTCAGCAAGGCACATACATTGGAGTTGTAATATCTAGACTCCAGTTCTGACTTGTGATCTCTGGAAATTCATTTAGTCCTTTTGAGCCTCAGTTCCCTCAAACAGTAGCAGTCAGGAGCCATTTACAGAGTTATGTTTTTCTTCTCTGTTAGTATTGAAAAGGAAAAATCATAATATATATACAATACAGGTATACCTCAAATCATACAAATCAACATATAGAAATTCTAAATTTCACAATATATTGATGTAAAGAAAGTGTTTCTTTAAAAAATATTTTTGCTTAGACTCTTTGCAAGTGCCACTACAGTTTGTTTGTTTGTTTTTAAGATTTATTTTCCTTCTTTATGCATATAAGAACTGGGATGTGGACCGGAGGTATGGGGGCTAAGAGAATTCACCAGAGACAGAGTGGGGAGCAGAACAGGCAGATCTACTGAAATATACTGCTGAGAGGAGCATTGGTTGAAACAGGAGAGGTCTGCTGAGCCATGTGGGTCAGCCCTCTGGCTGGAGATTGAATTTAAGCTGCAGTGGCTGGTGATAGTGATGAGACTTTAATCCTTGCACCACCAGGGAAGTCCTAGTCTTATTTATATTGTTACTCATGGCCCTTTAAGTTCTGTGAACTAGCATTGGTAAACCCTTTTGAGTTTATGCATTTGAACCCATCAATTTCTGTAAAAAACAATAGTAAAAACTCCTTTGCACTTTGCAGTTACATGATTTTTTTTAATATTATTTATGCATACAGAACCGGGCTACAGGCCAGAGGTGCAGGGGCAGTGAGAGGCTTCAACTGAGACAGAGTGGGGAGCAGAACAGGCAGATCCAACAAGTACACCGCTGAGGGGAGCAGCAGGTAGGTCAGGAGAGATCTGCCGCGCCATGTGGGTCACCTCAGGGCTGGGTGGGAATTGAACTCATACTGAGGTGGCTTTAG